GTACAGAGGTACAGTGGTGGAGACTTTTGATGCCTGACCAACACAGATGACTATTTCCCATTTGGTGAAGTGTGCTACTGAAAAGTAATAGAGTAGCTTAACAAATCCAACTTTTTATTTTTCGGAATCGGCGTATGGAACACTGATGTGTCTAATCCTTTATTAAATCAGAATATTCGGTCAGACATTATCAGGTTCATTTTAGTAGAATCTCCAGTGCCAATTCATGACCACCAGTGATCTGTCATTCCTTGGCAATGATTCCATTTTTTGCTACTTTTGTTTGCGCTGTCATAAAAATAAGCAGTAGAGGCCGTATATGCAACTTTGATGAGGCTTGGACGAGTTCAATATAAAGATTTAGCTTTTATTTCATCTAAACATGATTCCAGATTGTTATGCCACTGGTATTATTTTTGTCATTAATTTTATTCTTGATAGCCAAGCAAAGATTCTTGGGCGAGGAATCTGATCCAATCGATTTCTAGAATGGACAGTAGAACTTACTCCCAACCAATGCTTATAGTATAAGGGGAACAAAGACACTTCATTCCCAAAATTAAGCCCAATCACATAAGGCTCAAATAACATCTTAATTTAATGCAAACTAACTGTACATTCTTTGGGGTCCTTATCGTTTAAAAGACTCCTTAAGTAAGATAATTCATATTTCATCCCTATGAACGTCCTGTACTCCACTTCAGATGGTTTTTTGTGTAAAACTGTATAGCTTTTCCTGGTTAGTTTTATTTAAAAAAAATAGGTAGTTAAATGCAATTCACAGCCGCCTGCTGGCAAGTTATGGCCAAGAAATGTGCGCGTTCGGAACGAGGCTTCCTCATCTCTCCGCGCTACTAGATGTGTGCGATTTGATGGTGGACAAATTGAGCCAAATTTCGAGCCTTGCAGGGCAATGCGTGAAGTCGGTGCGGCGGTAGGTGGGACCCCAACCCTTGCCTAAGCTTATGTGCAGCACCGGTCCAAATAGTGATTTTCCCGGCCAGGATGTGCTCTTGCATGCCTCTGTCAGTCGATCCTCGTAGATCCGCGTGTCAAAAACTACCAGGGAACAGGTTGGCGCTACACGATAGACTGGCCAATCACCAGCGATCAAATCGCCTTGTTGCACGAAACACGGCGAGGCGACAAATATGGGTGTGGTGGGTGTCTTATTTGTTAATAGGATTTGTCCCTTCGGCAGTAGCAAGAGGCTTATTCCTTCATGGGAAAGACGTCGTCGTTGTTTTGTTGGTGAGGAGGAGTAAGGGATGGGTGGCCAATACTTCTTTCGACTAGGATGTGAATCCTCACTAAAGGATCGTGGGGAAGTGAAATGACGGACTAGTCGATCCAGACAGAGGCGACCCTGCTGGGACCAAATCGCATGAGTGGAAGGATTTTCAGAAGTAGCAGTAGAGACAGAGTAGGGTTCCTCGTTGAGGACAACCAATGCAGAGGTGAGGACCGGCAACCATTTGTGACCGATGTGACGATTGCATTCCCAGTAGGAGATGTGGGACCAAGGTTTCTTGCAACACTCCTCCAAAATGCATCCAGAGTCGCCTTGATTCGTAAATGCGTTCTCTTGCCTTTCAGTCAAATGCAGCGCTCTGGGCACAGTTAGCATATCTGTGTTCAGTGAAATGTTTTAAAGTATTAAAATTTTGATTGTGGCCCTTAAAGTCAAGGTGACAATGTCGTCCGATTTCGACATTTAACATTTTGAATTTAAAGCAATGTTTTGACCAATAATTAAGCAATAGCACCGAAAATAAAAAAAGGCTTGGTGAACACTTTGAGGCATACTCTTGTGTTCCTTCCCATGCTTGGTCTTTCCTAATGCGATCCTGTTTACCTAAGGAGGTGTACATTAAACCGCTCCGTCAATAGCACAAAACTCGGTTTGGCACAGCTTTCAATCTGACAAGCTGCAGCACCAGTCTAATGGGTGTGCGAATTGAAAGTACAATAAAAACAAGAGTAGCCGAGGGTTTATGTCATCTTAATGCATTAGTTCTCCTTGGGTGCATCAGTTTAACCAACTTCTCTTAATTCCATATTAATAACTTAAGATTTTAAAGGGGACCCTTCCCCCAGGGAGGAGACTTTTTCTGCAGTGTACAACAAATAGCACCTTTTGAATAAAAAATTTAAAAACATGAATTTCCGGTCAGACTAAAAGACCAACAAAACTCAATGGAAGCAGCAGTGTTGACAAGCATGGCAAACGAATATCATGAAGGACTATATCTGAGTAATCTGGTTTTGGGATGCACCTTGAAAAATGAACCTGCGCAACGATTGCTTCAGTGACCAATGTCTCATGCTGGTGGTTCTATGGCCAGCTTTCAGAGTGGAAAAAGACATCAAAAATGTGTGAAAAAAGCCCATCGAAACCTCATCGACGGAAGACATACCTCATCGATCATTAAAAGTCGCATTAAAACGAAGATTTGCGGCTGTAAGATTTTAGAATTTTAGGATGCCAGTCCGCCCCAAAAACGAAAGCGTCCATATTTTTGCATTAAAGTAGACTGTCTCAACGTAGAACAGTTGAATGCTAAAACTAACTAGAAGAAGTTCCGGACACTGGACACTGGAAGTTCAACGCCAATGAAGTGTGCAGTATCCGTTTCGCCTTGGCGTTTAAAAGAACCAGGTCAACTAATCACTTCATAGGACTCGAGATGCAATGCCAAATTCAAGGCAATTGTGAAAGACAACAGAATAGTAGGTGAGCCTCACTGGGAAAATTACCAATGAGTTGCAAGGATGATTTGCTTGAAAGAACGAGTATCAACCCGGCTACTTAATAGGCGGAATGTCAAAATGCTATGGCGATTGGGACCATGTGATTGAGTACAGGCGGCCACCGTTCGTAGTTCCTCCCACTCCCCAAAGAAGTCAATCAAATGGAAATAGGCAGGCAGACCATTAAGCGAAGTCAAAAGAGATGAACGTGCAACAACAGTATGCCAACGCGGCGCCAGCGACTAGAAGGTCAGCAAAAGCCACAGGAATGCTTTAACTCGCGGCATCGGCGCCGACGTCCACTTCTCACTGCTGGCCTCTGCCTTTTTCTCTTGGTCTCGCTCCCTCCCTTCCTAAACGCCCCCTCGTTGGCCAGCAGACCACTGGCGTCGCGGTCTGCTGGCGCCGGGTGAATCGGCGATCCGGAGGAGCAGAGTGGAGTAGAAAGAGAGAGTAACAGCCAGTCGCCAGGCCTTGCCACCACCCTCACCTATTCTTCTACCCCCTTCACTCTTCCCCTTCCCTTGTATCTTTTAAAGTGCCGCAAAGGCCACACCAAGATGGTGTCTACTATTTCTTTTGCACCGCTTTCTAGGTGTTTGAGCATGCCCAACATTTGGAATCTACCTCAATATCACGACCGCACTGAGACTGTATTCACAACATCGTTATAAAGTTAGTTTTTGGCCTTAGCACCTACAGCAAACCTCAAGATAGATGTATAAGTCAACTGAACATCTAGCACAAATGACACTCATTTGCCACGTGGGTTGAAACCTTTCCCAACCACCATCCTGCTCCAAGACCAAATCGAACAAAGTTTAGCGCTACACAGCGGTCACAAGATTACGCAATCAAAGGTTTCAAGGATGCACGATGCACTAAAGTCCTAAATCTGTCAGGTTTAGCAACTGTACAAGGAACAGCGCATTTGTGTCGTCCTTATTTAAATTAAAACCATTCACATCCCCTTTGTTATTAATCTCCAGTCTCTTCGAGGCCCATCGTGAAATTGATGCTTAAGTTTATCGCCAGTCCTCCATTTAATGAAATTTGAAGTTGGGTATATTACCAGATAAAGGAGAACAGAACACGAAAAACTACCGATGACATAATTTGAGGTCTATAGGAGTAGTGGTTTGGCATAAGCAACGAATTGATTGCAGTGTCAGCTTATGGGTGATTCAAATGCTCCATGAAAAGTTACAAAAATCACAAACTAAAAAGCGTAGCACATTGGCATTTAGACTTGCAATCAATTTGTTCTGAAGAGCAAAAATTACCAAAAATTACCAATTACCGACAATATTAGAGTTAGTCAAGGCAGCAGGAGATTGACTGCCAGCTAGGCTTGGTGACCATGCATTGGACTACTCCGTTTGGCCTTCCCAGTGCCTCCAAGTTTCAATCACCTCCATTTGGCCATCATAAATCCTATGTTGTTTCGACATAAGAGAGCACTACCGCTCTCTTTCGACTTAATAAAAATTAACCTTGTCTGTACACTAGACCAGCATTTCTTGCGTCAGTATGAACAGTGTAAACTTTTAACCGCGTCATTGTCAACATATAGTGTCAGAAGGATTTATAAAATCCTATTTTTTCTTATTTAAAATCAAGGCGGAAAAATGGTCAATGATACTACAGAGGCGCTTGGCAGGACTAAAAAGCAGTGCTTAACTTCACCGCCCCAGTAAATGGTACTTTTGATGACTCTGGAAAATCGGTCCATGTAACTGCTAGCCTTCGTCGTGAACGGACAGCACGACACGGGCAGAGATCGACACCAGGTGAGAATCTAGTAAAATCAACGTGTCACTCAGTCAGATACGCCTCCACTTCTTCGACGTTATCCGCCGACAGCACAACCTGCATTCATGCGATATCCTAACAACCGAACACTCCATTCCGTACACTCATGCCGGCCAGAACTCAAACAGATATGATTCCTTATGACATCGTAGCTAATTCTTATTCGTTCGCTGTCTGTGCTGAGACCCTTTTCGGATATTAGGTGGTCTGTTACCCCAAAGGTGACAACGTAACAAAGAAGCACTTTATCTCATTTTCAGTTCCGATTCTTACGCCAACGATTAGTATAGTGTCTATTTGATAAAATTGAAAGTGGCAGCAAAACAGGACAGAGCTAGCACTGAACACCTTGCTGATGAAACAATTTCGCGGCTCATTGAGCCTGAGATCAAGTGCAAATCACATGAAGGGAACAAGACACCGATCCCTATGGGATGGGGAAAGAACAAGGCAATTACTACAATAAGTGGTGTTTTTTTCTCTATGGCATATCACTATTGAACTGGTTTAATATGGTATCAGCTAGGAAGCGGCCAGATCATCCGTTGGGGGCATTTGTAATACCATGTAGATGAGGTGGTACTCATGACTGATCAATGTTTTAAATTTATAGCATGGGGCTAACTACTCCTAATTGGTAGTAATTGTCCCAATATGTTGATTAAACTGTTCCATACTGCACGGGTAAAAGCAATAAAGAGTCATTCTTTAAAATGGGTAGCACTTACCTACGGTTTGTGTTGATTGTATTGGAAGCGAGATATCTAGAATGGAATGCAGCATCATCTGTTTGTTCCGGGTGGAAGCTATTGTGCTCATGAGTCACACATGGACTATCTTATTGGAAATGATACCTGTTCAAGGTGGTACATGTACGCGATCTCGGCCCGATCCATATTTATATCGAGTGGGGTTCAAAGTGAGCGCGACTATGCACACTCTATTGGCTCTCATTTGGAGCCAATGGGCAAGAGGCGCCTGACACGCGTGGTAATGGTGACTACGCATAACCTTCAAAGTACCTGCGGCGACGATGACGACGCCGAGAAGAGAGGCCTGGCATGGCCTAGCTTTGCCTAGCCTGGCGTCTGAAGGGCAAGGCGCCGTGAAAGCAGGGCGCGCTTATGTACGCTTGCCTGCCGATGAAATACTCTCCATCTACACACACACCCATGCATACTGCAGTGTACACCTGACGGCGCCGCTGGCCTATGCGAACGGCGTCGGAGCCATATGGACGCGCAAGCGGTGCGTGTAGTTGTAGTGCTTCCTAGCACGAAACCTTCATGTAGTAGTGCGCGTGGATGGTTGGCTGGGTGGTTGGTTGGTTGATTGGTTGGTTGGATGGTTGACGGTTTTATACCCTCGGGCGACTATGGGAGAGAGGGTGAGTTAAGAGGGAAGAGGGGGACAAGGATGAGTTTCTAGAGTGAAAAAGGTTTGGCGTCGCTAGTTGTTGGGCGCCAACCTCTCCCTCAAGCAGTTTTGAGGAGAGAAAAGTTTTTTCTTTTCTACTTGCAGCGACGCCGGGACTATATCGAGAGGCAGCTAAAAGTCTGCGCTGAAATGCAGGTAGATAAATTACTCCCCAGCGTATTGTCTTTAGCTAAATTAAAAACATCGCACTGTGTCTCTTGACCGTTATCGCACAATCCTAGATGCACGCCTCGGTAATTTAACTTGGTTTGTATGTACCATCTGGCTTAACTTTAATGCACGGATGAATTCGAAGACAACAAATTATTCTATCAAGCGACTTCATAAATTCTATGGCACTATTTAAAATAGGCAAGTGAAAAAGACCGAGGTCGTAATCACATACAGAAAGGGGAATGTCAAATGGCACCAGAGAAGTCCACGACTTGCAGCATCTGTCTCCCAAGGCATAATGAGGTGTTTATTTCTGGACTGCTGTTTAAAATTTTGGCAAAATGTTATATTGAGCGCGATAGTACACGAGCTAAGATAGACGTATTTTGATTACATCGGCTATGTCGCTCACGAGCGTTGTGCAGATCGCCTATTTTAAGGTGGTTGGCGAAACGTAACCAGTCTGAGAAGTTA